TCGCACACATAATTTTGATGAATCCTTGAGTATAGATTAACTTTGTTTTCTATTTAGTAAAGCATTGTAGAAAAGAATAAGACAAGTATTACACTATTCTGATATAGTTTTTCTAAGGAAATAATTAAAAATTTTTCTAATGATATTTCTCAAAAGTAAGATAATGTCATCAGATATCAATAAATAAAATAATCATTTCTCCAATTCAATGATGCCTTGAAGCTGGGAGACATCTTAATCTATGAAAATATCAAAGTTTACCGCATATCGATGATACGTATCAGTAATCATGTTGAGTCTGGTGCAAACATTGCAGACCGAACATAAAATTGTAAAGTCGTCAAGATGATCCAGGATGCGATACACAAGATCAACAGGTATACTCAGCATTGAATAAGGAACTTGATAAGCCATAAACGTTGAATAATTTCGAGTACTGTGCGCTGTTGAAATGAATGATTATTGAAACTTTTTGCCTTCTTATCAATATCTATATAGAAAGTAAATCACCGATTGTTGTTACAGTTTTGCAAGTTTTTGTCTAGGCAGAGAATAGAAAAATTTTTTCATATACTTCGTGAATTGAGGTAACAAAGAAAACAGAGATTTCACGTCGAAGATTGGGTGTGGGTGTGCAAAAGAAAAACATCATGAGAGACACCGATACTAACACCAAGGTCATATCCACACCAACTCATATTACCCATAGTCTATTAGCTGTCATAACAAACCTCTGTTATGATCTTGTATTATAGGAAACAAGCCGATTTATTTTGCAAGGTCCACTTTAAGTTATCTATTTTTTCTTTTTATGAATATTTAATACGAAAATATAATGTTTGATTCGAAGTACGAAAAAAAAAGAGTAGATATCATAGACTAAATTAAAGTTATTTTTAAGAAACTTAGAGATGAGAAATGAAATTCTTGGAAGAGGAAACAAAAATTTAAGTTTTCAATAGACTTCCAAAATAATTTGAGACAAAAGGATACATTATTAGCATAGGCCTTAAAATTTTATATATTATTGTGATTTTTCTATTCATCAAAACTATACTATATAATATCTCAGTCACCACCACTGTCGCAATCGTCCTCGTTGGCGAAATTCAGATGGATGAAATTCTTACTGTCAGAACTGCGTCTTACCTCTTCTTGACTCTTTTCGCAACTACTTTAGGCTTTATCTATTAAATAGACTTGCTTTCTATATGCAGAAATATCTGTAGAAAAAAAACCCACTGATAAAGATAACTAAAATTTAACGTCATTTTTCTTTTGCCAGCGGTGAATTTTATTGTCGTTCTATCCAAAGTTGTCTTTTTAACGAGTGTTAATAAAATGACGAGATAATTTACAGAAGGAGGAGGCTTCTATTTTATCTTCAATGACTTTTTCTTCTTCTAACATAAATTCAACTAATGCACATTTGAAAAAGAAACCGGTGGGTATTATTCAAATAACTTTCGATACGAACAACACAAAGAGCTGCATTTCTACTGTGGATGTGGATGTCGGTTTGGCGGTGCGACAAGACAGAATTAGTATCCACAACCACACTCACGTCCACACTGAAAAAAGATACCTCACGGAACTTAAAAGGTTTCGTGGTAATTCACTATACCTAAAAAGGTTTCCATTAAGTGCCAGTGTAGGTTTGCGTATAGCGATGCACAGAAACTCCCCTAGTCCACTTTCCCTAAAGAAATCTCCAGGAAGTTCCGATAGATTGTGAAATCCCTAGGGAGTTCGTTACGTGAATCCTGGGGGAGTTCAAGTAAAATACGAGAAAAGCTTCCGAGAAGTTCCTGGAGAGTTCAAGTAACATACAAAGAAACCTTCGAAGAGAGTTCCTAGGGAGTCCCTGAAAAATCCCGAGGGACTCCACGAACGATCACTTGGAAATCCCTAGGAATTTTTCAAGAAATTCTCGGGAACTTCCTCCGAAGGTATTCTTGTATTTTACTTGAACTCTCCAGGAACTTCCTTCGAAGATTTTCTCGTATTTTACTTGAACTCCCCTGGGACTCACGTAACGGACTCCCTAGGGATTTCACAATCTATCAGGACTCCTCGGGGATTTCTTTATGGAAAGCGGACTAGGGTCCACATAACACCTCTGCCACGGCTACAGCTATACAGAGTGTGGGTGTGTTCTGTGGCTGAGTGTGAGTGTGTGTATGTTTGTGTGTGAGTGTGTGTAGGTTTGTGTGTGAGTGAAGAGACGAGAAGCACCCACCCACACCCCATATTGGAGGATTGTCTTTATAATCCTATTAATTTCTCTATAGTAGTTAATGTAGAGCTAAAGCTACCTGATGAAGACCCTTGAAAAAGGTCGAAACCGGTCGTGGCATCACTTTATCATATAAAACTCACCCTAGAGCCAGTCCTTAAAACGGGACAGAAGTAATAAAACACTAATACTCGCGGGTGTGTGTGGGGTGTGGGTGTAGGGTGTGGGTATGGATGTGAGTGGGGTGTGAGGTGTGGGTGTGGGGTGTGTGTGGATGGGGTGTGGGTGTGTGAGTGTGGATGTGGGTATGGGTGGGCGCGGGTTTGGTTGTATTGGGATGGATGAGGTGTGTGGGTGAGAATGCATTTCTGCCTGCATTCTACCCACTTACACCCGCATTCGCACCCACACCCATACCCACACCACCACACACCCGCACCCACACCCATACTCCGACACTCACACCCACGTCCATCCACACAGTCACACCCGATGTTAAAAGTCTACTAATCCACACTTTCGATACAATTTTTTGACCATGTAAAATATCGAATCATAATATCTATTAATCCTGCTCGACAAAGGTTGAGATCGCTAAAGTTAGATTTGTATCAAAATTATTTTCTTTACTAAGTTTATAAGACATAGTGTGACTCTATACAAAATTCAATTCTCTATAAGATCCCATCTTCAGATTGATAGAAGAATGATTGTCATAACAATAGCACTCTACGTATAGATCAGATACCAAATCACAATTATGTTCAAACTTTGATAGAGATGTTGTGAATGATCACAAAGCCAAAATATTCAAACTAACCATCGAGTTTTTTCAACAAAAATAAACAAAATAGTTATCTTCTTAAACATGCTGAATACTAGTTTCGACGTCTCTTACAGTTTCAAAAGTACCTCACAGCAGAATTGTTAGGTAATCATCTAAAGAAAGCGTAACATTTTGGATTGTTAAATGCATAAATAAGAATGGTTTCAAATTTTTCAAAAATATGCCAAAAATACATTACTATAATATGTAAATTACCGCTATTTCTGTCCCCAACGTTGTATTAAATGAGATAATCATAAAATTGTTCTCAATATCTGTGAGGCCATTTTAAAGAAAAGTGCTTTTGTAACTCAATCGGTTTTATTGAAAAGGTTGAAGTATTCAGCGTTAAGCCACGAAATCTCAAACAAGAGTACTGAATCTGATTCCATCCAATAGGCAGATAAATTAAAAATTGTTCAATAAACATGTAGAGTGAAAAGTCAAAGAACTATGATATTAGTGATCGTAATACGTAACTTAATTATTCATCTTTTAGCATATGATCGTATTAAACACAATATGTCTGAATTATGTATGATATTTAGACAAAAAAAAAAACTATTGAAAATGATCTAGATTAAAAGGTAACTTATTCACACTCTCTTTTAACGATCATTAAGATTGTCCAAGACAATTTTTGTAATGATCAACAATCAAAGTTGTATTGAATTAAGAACAGTCGATTTTATTATCTTCGTTCGTTCCACCTTTGGTTGTTCCACATTTGTTGAAACCCTGTATGGTTGGTTCGCATAGGCTGAATCCCTGTTTGGTGGTTCCACATGTGTTCAACACGTGCTTGGTTGTTCCACATTTGTTGAACCCCTGTTTGATTGTTCCACATTGGCTGAATTCCTCTCTGGTGGTTCCACATGTGCTCAACCCCTGCTTGGTTGTTCCATATTGGTTGAACCCCTGTTTGATTGTGCCACATTGGCTGAATCTCTAGTTGGTGGTTCCACATGTGCTCAACCCTTGCTCGGTTGTTCCACATTTGTTGAGCCGCTGTTTGGTTGTTCCACATCTGTTGAATCCCTGCTTGATGGTTCCACATGTGCTCAACTCCTGTTTGATTGTTCCACATTGGCTGAATCCCTATTTGGTGGTTCCATATGTGCTCAACCCCTGGTTGGTTGTTCCATATTTGTTGAACCGCTGTCTGGTTGTTCCACATCTGTTAAGCCCCTGTTTGATTGTTCCACATTGGAGCAACTCTCCTTCGTTCGTTCCATCTGCCTTCATCTCCTCTTCGTCCGCTATATCTTGATTCACTAGATCTTCGTTCATTCCATCTTTGACGTCGTTGTTCGGTGATCGAGAATGTCTTGGTATAACCTTGTTGGTTTGATATATCCAGAGAACGTTTTATGAAAAGAATCAAATCCTCCGATGTTTTGATCGTGTCATTCATTCCTATTGACTCAATCACCGTGCTATATTGATCAATTGATTTAATGGCTTTTAATCGTTGTTGAAATTTTTCTACAACGTCTGCCGGTGGAAACCCATGTAAACTATCTAGAAGCCTAAAACAAAATGCATCATATAGACAATCAGTAAAAATAGAAGAAAATTAAACATAATACTCCGGTGAAGAAAAAAGAGCAGATTCTGCTAGGAAAAATGGTAAAAACTTTGAGACAGAAATCGAAGGATTGGCTCTGTCGAGGGCTAGAAGAATTTTACTGCCAGATTTCTTCTTTCAAGTTCCTATCATTTTTTCTAGTTTTCCGACCAAAATCATTCATACTCCGACATGAAAACACCGAAAAATATTGTAAACGGTACGAAATCATCGAAAAAATCTGGTGAATTTTCAGTCAAGAACACTACTTTTATATTTCATCAATTTTTAGTGTTTTCATTCTAGAACCAGCATGTACGGTTGAATCTGAGTGGATAACGATCAACTGGACGTTTCAAAAGCGCAGATACTTACTCTTTTGCACCTGGAAAAATAAATGTTTGAGCCATTTCTTGATTAAATACCCATAGATGATATGATACTTTTCTTGATTGAAATATTGTTGGCAAATCTTCGACTTTTATATCTAATAAATTTCGAATAGCAGTATCTCGTTGAATCCAATAGATTTGTCGAGCAAAACATTCTTCATAGACACATGTTTTGACATCATCGAAAGTATATTTTTTCGACAAGGCGATTTTTATAAGAAATTCACCCATATCAGGTACTACCTTTTTATTACGATAAGATAATCCTGTTATGAAATCTTCTATTGTCTTATTAATTTTATATTCTAAAATGAAGAAAAAAAAATAAAGAAATATAAATGATACTCCAGTGTATATATATCAAGAGATACCTAATTCAGGATAAATATCAATAAAATGCATTAATAAACGTAACAAATGACAATAAGCTTCTATCGCTCGTTTTGATTCAAATAATTCGCCATTAAATAATCGAACAGCAGACTTATTCATTAATTTAGTCAATACATCCAATGCCATATGTGGAACAAAATCATATTTTTCAACACCCTGAGCACTACCATTATAAATAACACTAATACTATTTTCAATAATCATTTGTCCTTGTTGAAAATGCTTAGAATTAATATACAATGGTAACCAATAATTGTAATCTGCTCCTGTAACCGAACGAAATTTGAAATTTTCATAAAAATCTAATTTATCTCCACCTGATTTCTGTATTTCTGCAACATATGCATCGTAGGAGATCAATTCCAAAATGATTTCAGACGATAAACGATTATAATTATCACGTTTGAACAATATTGGATAGCCCAAGCAAATGTTATCTTCAATAACATTTTGTTTTGTTACACCACAAGTTAATTTTTCGACTAGTTCACGTTCAGATTTCAATCGTTCTTCTTCTTCTGCTTGTTGTTTATTTGATATTGTTTCGGTATAATCGACTATAACTGGATTTGGCTTAGCATAAGAATGACCACATGTTTCACATGTAAAATTTTTCACCATATTCCAAAGATGATCAATACTATTTGAAGAAGGTGTAAATCTTAAATCAGGATCTGCAAAAAATGTAACAATTTGAAGAAGAGCAGTTGATAAAGTATAACCAGGACTAGAAGAATACGAAAAAAAAACATGAATAACAAATCCTAGAAGTTGTTTCGTTACCTCCAACCAGTAGCCTGTTTGATACTACCTCCATCGACTGAACGGAAATATTCCGCATAGTTCGTTAGTAAATCATTGCACAAAGCATGACCATTTCTAAAAGTGGAAAGTGAAGTTCGAAAAATGATTCGTTATCAAACATAAGATCTAATATGATCATACCTGTGATCTTCATGAATATGAGCATGATATCTAGAATCAAATTTTAATCCAGGTGCAATATTTCCAGCTGGACCTGTCAATGGATAGTCTTCTGGAATATGAAGAATTAAATGTATCATAATTCCACAATAGGGTCCATCATTGATCAATACCTGAATAAAAAAACAATTATTCTGATATGTGAATCATTCAATACATACGTTACAATGTAAAAGAAAAGGATTCGATTCATCTGGACAACAAACACCAAGTCCAGGTATTGGAACTTTATCGAGATCTTTCAAATCTCTGAAAATATTAAACATATGTAAATTCGAATAACAAACACATTCATTAAGAGACCACCAAAAGATGTGCACTATCGTGCTTCCACAGGTTATTGAAAATTTTTCATGATATGTATCAAGAGATAGTGAATTAAAAGTTCAACAAAATTAGCTATATTTAATTGATACATGATATTTAGTAACTCAAATTGTGTAAAGTTAACATGACTCAAAGGGATCACTTTAATCAATTCAACTACAAGAATGAGCTCCTGTTCTCTTCCAAAAGTAGATGACCCTAAACTGAATGTAGTATATATTTTACAACTCTTTTTCTACAAATTGGTAAAAGCATATTTGAAGAAAAAATTTCTTCGATCAGAAACGAGTTGTAGATCTTCTTAGTTTTGTTCGTTTTTCAGCAGTTTTTATTGCCATGGCACACTGCTAAAGCAACATACAGATAATGAACGTAATCAGCTATCTCTAATTATATAAAGTTAATCGAAAATTTTATTCCTGTGCAAACGCGATTCGTGGTCCCAACACAACGACATATATTTTTAAGGAATTTTTCTTTGTCGTTGCCCACATGTCACGTTTGCACAGGAAAAAACGTTTCGATTAGAATCAGTTTATGATGCTGATTCTGAATATCGTATGTATTTTAGTCAACCAATGCGTCATGTCAATGAAAAATGCTGGAAATGTCAATCTCTATTGAATTGTGTAGAGAAAAAAGAGTGTTTCAAAACATCTCCTGAAGCACGACAGGAATCCATTTTTATTTAAAGAACCGCTTCGACTCATGTGGGCTTTCTACAACTTGAGTTACTAAATATTATATATCATGAAAAATTTCAATAATTTATTGAAGTACGATTATACACATCTTTTACAGTTTATTTTTCTTTGTTTTTTTTTAATTTAAAGCCTTTTAGATATTGATGCATCGAATTAGTCGAAATCATGAGAAAATATTTCAAAAATTTCGCATCTTTATTCTTCAAAATTATGAAAAAATGTAGTTCAATACAAAAATAGAATTAATGAATATAGTTTCTTCTGAGCATGTATTTGTCATTTTATTTAATAGATTTCAATAAATCTTTGCTGTGAGTATCTATGAATGAAAATGATGTCTATGATGAATGACATCCGATCAGTTTGAGGGCTTTTCGATTCATCTCTACAAATATATGAATCGATTCGATCGCTGATACCTATACCAACACCCACGTTCATCCGCATGTAGTAAACAGACAGGGAAAGCACAATGTAGGAACGAAGAACATCAAATTTACAAGTTTCCGTAGACAGCGAACAACAAGAATTATGCTTCTCTAAAAACAATAATTAAAAAAAATTACCATTAGATATGAATAAAATATTTTTATTCACATCTTTGAAAAACATCATACGATATATTACAAGAAATGCTGGCTAAAAATAAAATAGACAAGATATTTGAAAAAGACGAAAGGACAGAAAAAAATCGAGTGGATCCCATATTGGAATGATACCCTATGAGCTCAATGAAATCCTCTTAAAGGAGATCTACATACCTTATAATACGTTTTGTCGCAGCAAGTTTTGTATTTTGTGGTTTGAAAGACGGATTCATTTTGTTTCGAGAAGAAATCAATTACAAAGTTGGTAATAGACAACCTATTTAAACGAGATAAACTGGGAAAAAATAACGTTGGTTATCGTAGCATATGTACATTAAAAGCAAATTACACAATATGATGAATAACGAATAGAAAGGAAAAACGTCAACGACAGAATGATTCATCGAACGATGTTTCATAAAATTATATCTTGTTATTGCGTGATACGAGTGCAATCACTGTTATATGCTGTCACCTATTTTCTCATCTTACTTGACGTTTATACATAAAACTGGTTGGAAAAAATCGAAAAAAAAATTATGAAATTGTGCGTGTGGGTCAAGGGGGAAAAAGCGGATCCTCGGGGTGTGTGTGGGTGTGGGTGTATATCTCCATCCATACCCACCCACACACCGACACCCACACTCACACCCATACACCCATACCCTCATCTGGTGTGCATTGTAACAGCCAATTAAAGATCTATAAAACTGCGCAGGGCTTAAATTTTTAGCTTTCATCATTCAGGAGTTATAGGTACTCTGCTCGAAACTCTAAGTCAATTTGTCTAGTAATTCCTATGAAAAAAATTCACTTTTTTATTTTTTCCTTTTTGATAAAAACCATTTTTCCGCTACTCTTTTTAGAAAATCGATTTAAAAAGTCTCACAAAACATACTAGAAAAATTTATAATATGCAGTTCGATGCGTCTTAATATCCTCTTTCCAACGGTGAAAACCGCAGCTCTCTATCTTGTTTTTCTCAAAAGTTACACCAAAAATACGAAACGCAACCATTTTGTCGTTCGTGGTAAGTTTTTTTTGTTCATTAAGTGAATCTTTCTAAGCCAACTTTAGAAACAAATCTTATAAAGTGAACAAACACATTAGTCATAACTTCAACAGATTGAAACATGCAGAATATCGCATAGATTGTCACATCACTGCACACATATCATGGTTTTATCTAAGGAAAAGATGAACAATATCTCGATGACTGATTACATCAAAAAAGGTTAGCATAAGTTCATTGTTGTTGTGAAGTAGATAGATTCAACAAGATTTCCCATGAGATACAGAAAAACAGCTTCAAAAGATTAACTATTTATTCATGTGATATTTTTTCATTTGTTGATTGAACATGTTGTTGTAATTCTATTACAGCTTCATGTGTCGGTAAAAGTGATACTTTTTGAAAAATTTCGTTTGCTTTCGAATAAAATGATAATGCTAAATCAAACTCACTGCGTGCTTCATATATTTCACCAATATTTAAATATGTTACGCCGAATTCAAAATGATAAGCTGGTAATGTTTTTAATTGAATATTTAGTTGTTTTTCATAATAGGATAACGCTAAATCGTACTGTTTTAATTTGCAATAGATAACACCTATATTACAATAACAATTTGCAATGTAACGATGGTCAGCAGAAAAATGTTTTTCAAATGATTCTAATGCTTTTTTACAATATAAAAGCGCATCATTATATTCTTCAATTTGAATTGTTAAAGCGCCTAAATTAAGATATATCAACGCAGTTTCCAAAGTATTTTCGCCATACTTCTTAAGATAGATATTTAAAGTTTGTTTGATATTTATTAAAGCTTTTTCATTCATATGTTTTCTTGTATAGCATGCACTAAGATTTCCGTATCAAGCTGCAAGATAAATATCATTGTCCAATACTTCTTGAAATAATTCTATTGCTTTTTCGGTCAATGTGATAGCTACATCGTAGTCACCTTTTGCAAGATAGACTGAACCAAGACCCTGGATAGTGTCTTGCTGCTGTGAAAACATCACAATGAGCCAAATTTTTGAGTAACTGTTGAAATAAATTTTCAGCTTCATCGTATCTATTCATTTTAATTAATAATAAACAAACTGAAAACATATTTGTTTGGTCTTCCATTGTACTCTTTATTTGATTAAAAACATCCTTTAACTGATAACTATCTTCATCAATCAATTTTAATCTTATTAATCAATATCGATCGCTATCATTCAGTTTGATATCTTAAATACGAAATATTGAGCCAAGCATAAATAAACATTCTCTTTCATCTTGAAAATGGCTTTTAGTTGTTATTTCAGCAAATGGTTTTGTTGTTACAGTTGAACCAATATCAATCTCAAAAAGTACTGCTGCTAGATTATTGTCACTCTCATCGCAAGATAAGTATGATGATAGCAGAAACTCACGAGGGAAGGTCCCCATGTGTCACTCTCCGTTTCGAATCTAACATTGGCCATTTTGCAGAACTCAGTGAGTACAGCACGTAATATAAAGGGTTCGTCCCCATAATGGACTTTTAAGTTACTATGAGATATCACAAAGGATATCCTATAATGACTGGGGATAAATTGTTATAAAGGTATTTTATCTTTACATGTAATATCTTATTAGATCAGTTGTCAAATTAACATGACAAATAGATTCTAGATGCTTTATACCGCGTCGACTTTACCTTGTGAAAAAACCTTAGTCATATTGTCGTTTGATTGACAAATTTCGAAAAATACCATAAAAAGGTGGTGTACAGAGGTAATGTTCTATAATCTTTTGAGCTAAATTAATGCACTATGCGCATGGTTTTTGGATACCTTTTTAGGTGCATCTTGTGTACTTTTTTTCGCTCTATCAAATCCATAAGAAACTATTGTCGGTCCAAAGACTTTTCGATACTCTTTTTCCATAGAAATAGTAAAATAACAGCACAACATTTTCGAAATTATTGCAGTTTCTGCACAATTTCTGTATCGTTGTTCAGAAATTGGCCCTTCATAGGTACATAAAAAAAATTATTTAAGGAGCATCTAAACATACAGTTCTGTAGAGCAAAACTTGCTCTATCTTTTGAGGTATTATTCAATTTGATTTGATTGACTTTTAAGAAAAAAAATAATCACATACTGAGAAAAAGGAAAAACGAAAAAAATCCATGATCATTAGTTTTAGAGATTTATGGAGACATTTTCAATGTTTCTTTCGTATCTATTCAAAAGTCATTCAGAGATGGCTAAAATTTTGAATTTGTAGGTTGTTTTTTTTACATGCTCTTTCACTTGCGATGAACAAAAAGATAGGTCAAATTTTTTTGTATGACACCCTGTAGTGAAAATGCTTGATTCAGTCATGGACCCTCTCTTAAATGAAATTATCTGTATAACTTCAATCATTGTCTTTATATATCTATTGTCTTTCTTTAAATGAAACATTTCGAAAATGAAAATTGGAAAATATAAAATCGTGAATAAAAATAGACAAAAAATTCAAAATAAAAGTTTTAGTTAGTATCAGAAATTAATGAAGAGTGATATTGATTTGATCAAGTGTTTCTTGGTCGACACCCAATGATCTGAGATATTCGAGAAAAGAGGCAAATTGATCCGTCAAGAATTTCCAGTTGACACCAAAGAAATCACAGAAAGAATTCCATATCTGTTTGAAGAGATGCATTGTCGGCTCAATCGGACGTGGAACTTCTAGCATGTGTCCGGCAATGGATTCCCATAGGTATCGTCGAGTTTCACTTCGTAATGGTTCAATAAGTTGAGCAAATCGACCACCTTCCTGAGCAGTACCACATACAACATCAGAAAAACCATAAGGCGCCAGTGCAGTTTTATTTTCTTCGTTTGTTATCCATTTGTTCATTGGTTCATCGGATTCACAATGACTCAGAAAAAGAATCGCAGGTGTTTTACCATTAAGCAGAGTCTGATAGAACAGCATATGATTTTTTTCAAATGATTCAGTTATTCGTCCTTTTGGCATAACAAAGAGAACGCAGCTGAATCCCCGTTTGTTTCCTTTGATAAACTTAATTAACATTTTCATTGCATCCTTTGGTTTGACAGTGCCTTTTGAACCTTCATTTAAACCAACTGTATCAATCAATTCGAACAGTTCTCCATTATAATCACATTGATATGTTTCAAACTTAAATGTACATCCATTGGCGCCATCATCTACTGTTGCTACCTTTTTGCCAGCTAAAAGATTGATCACACTGCTTTTACCGGCACCAGTTTGTCCGATGACGAGAATACGATTAACGCTACCTTTTTGTTTAAGGGGGGCCCCCCCCCCTCAGAAACCAACTTTTAGGGCCTCCCCCCTCAGAAACGAATTCTGTTATTTTTCATCCGATTTCAACCAAAATTTCAGAGAATGTTAGTCTAGGATAGAGGAGATTATGGTTAAAATATCTCTCCAAATCTCCAATAAACTAATGAGTTATAGTCAATTTATTGGTCAAAAGTACCTTGTACGCGGGCAAGGATTTCACAATAAGGACACGAGCTAACAAGCCCGGGTGGTTTTCAAGTTATAGAGTGCCCTTAGGGCTAGATCCTCACAAGGCCCGATTTTTGAATTTCACTTTTTATGAAATAAAAAAATTAGATATTTATTTTTTAGTAGCAATTTTTTGGGCATGAATTCGTGAATTTTACGAAAAAGGGTTTTTCAAAAACAAACAAAGGGAAACTCAAAAATCGGGCCTTGTGAGGATCTAGCCCTAAGGGCACTCTATAACTTGAAAACCACCCGGGCTTGTTAGCTCGTGTCCTTATTGTGAAATCCTTGCCCGCGTACAAGGTACTTTTGACCAATAAATTGACTATAACTCATTAGTTTATTGGAGATTTGGAGAGATATTTTAACCATAATCTCCCCTATCCTAGACTAACATTCTCTGAAATTTTGGTTGAAATCGGATGAAAAATAACAGAATTCGTTTCTGAGGGGGGGGCCCCCCTTAATTTGTTTCAAAACCATATCTATATTACTACGATTCTCCAAATATGCACGCAGTATGTTCATTGCCGATGTTTCGGATTCCATACCGAGTTCTTTGGCAATAGAACGCAGGAATTGTTCGGAGAGAGAGTCTACAAAGATAGAAGCGACAGCAGCCATTGGTTAGATTTCAATTGCTGATATTTTTTAGTAATCTAAAAAGACAAACATACATATTTTTGAATAGCATTTGATACACTATTTTCATCTTAAGTTTTTTCAATTATAATGTAAATATTTTCCTGCTGATATTTTATTGTCAAATATTATGCATTAGCAGAAAAAAATAATAAAAAAGCAGGGAATAGAAGAATAAAATTCGATGTAGTTATTAATTTGTAGATGGTTACGTTTTCGAAAATGTAGTTTACGCTTTATTCACCACTGTATTGTATGAAATCGTAAAAGATTTATATTACACTATTTATAAAACTGAAAAACGTCAACTTTCTTTTTGTATAATTCAGCAGTCACAGCCAATTGTGTTTCATAAAGAAATTAATTATATACAATCTTTAGCTTACCTTATACATAGATAGTTTGTCGTAGTGACGTAACTAGGATTTTCACAGTGGTAGGACATAGCATCGCTAAAATGTTTGGTGGTAGGATTCAGATGAGTGGGTTCTGTGGTGTGGTAGGGCTTGTAAAGGAGTTTAGCTGACGAAGCTGCCATTGGCGGTTGAGCTAAGCACAACCTAGCCTGACTCTGTTACGCCACTAGTCTGTCACTAAGGAAAGTCAGCAAAACAATCGAGCAAAACGAGCTATATCAGCCTCGTATATATGTAATCGGAATACGTATGTTATTACACAACGTTCGAGAGGAAGTGATATGAATAGCTTTACCTACTTATAGTCATTGAATTAATAATTGCTTTTGTCATTCTTCATTATATAACAACTTGGAATTTTTTCCGTTGGCATTTATTCTCTCTAACTTATAAAGGGATCTCCATAAATGTTGAAGTGTATCCGTTATCTATGTTGTACAAAAACCCCACTCGATGACTAATAAACGCATCAAATAACATGTAGTTCATCAGAAATTATTTCACAATCTTGGACGAAAAGCAGCCAATCAATAAATGTCAACACTACTTCTGTTCTTAATAAAAATGAAACTAATAAAATTTATTCATCGACATACATGTCAAAAATAACACACGCAAAGTAAGAACCTCCAAGAATGTTGAAAAAACACGAAATAAAAAATTTATACGTTGGAAATCACTGACATATCCATATATTATTATCATGCTCGTTGATCACGATACTTCTCTCTTGCTTTTTCTGTTCTGTTCTCTCGTTTCTCTCCGATAGATGCATCATGTGGTGAAAGACTATACTTGTTTGGATTTTTTTATAGGAGAAGAGTGATGTGATCACAGTGATTACTAGAAAAAAAAATCATTGATAACGAATCGTAAGCAACTTTATTTAGCCGGGTAATGAACTTCTAAAGAAGGTGAAACATCGATCTATGTCTTAAGGACCTTCAGAAACGATTTCCCACTTTAGATTGTTGCTTAAGCTGAAATTTTCAGAGATGACTGATCCTGGTTAGATACGCTTCTGGTAAAAATTTCAGCTCTATAAATCGTACTAGGCCGAAGTTTCAGCCGGGTTTGAGTGGGTGCGGATGTGTGTGAGGGTGTAGGTGGGTGTGGGTGTGAGTGTGGATGTTGGTGTGGGGTGTTGATGTGGGTGCAGGTGGGTATGTGTGTGTCGCTGTGGGTGCGGGCCTGGGTCTGGGTGTGGATGGGTGGTATGGATGTGGGTTCCGAACACAACAAATACCCACACCCACATTCGCACACACCCACCCATATCCATCCACACCACACCCACACCCACACCCACACACCCACACCCACACACCCACACCCACACCCACCCACACTCACACCCACACCCACCCACACCCACACCCACACTCACACCCACACCCACACCCTTTTCACGCTAGACCTTGTGGTATATATTTTTTTGTAATAAAACCTACTTAGATGATGAAAAAATCACATACAAAATGGGGTCATTCAACCTAGTTGGCTCATTATATCTACATAAGGAAAGAATGAAAAAGAACGAACACATATGTATAACACAGCACAATTATCTTTTATAGAATATGTTTATGCATAGCCGTATTTATCATCTATCCGAGTCAAGATAAAAATAGTAATAAACGTGGGTAAATATTGTCATCAATGCAAGAAAGAAGAAGAAATACTGCCATTAAACTAAATATAGAAAGAAACTTCGCATAAAAAATGAATTTATTACTCATTCTCTAAGGACACATATTATTAATGAGGAAGTGTAACTACACTATAGAGTGTAGCAAAACTCTCTTTCCAAAAGTTTTTCCATCTATTTCTGTTATTTAATTTAACTTTATCAACAGTTTTTTTAAAAACTATAGGTGAATAGACCGAGTTTTGATTTCTATGAACGAACTTCAGAGCTAATACTTTTGATCGAAATACAAAAATTTAGACTTTTCTTCTATTTCTCGAAAAAAAAACATATTATGCAGTGGTTCTTCTTAAAGTACTTCGATTTCTTCAATTATTCTAATCTATAAATCGTCCAAATCTTTAATACTCTTTTCATAAATATCTGTTTTGATATCGGTTAATAAACACAATTGCAATATTTCGACTCAAAATAACATTTATACCGGTGTCAGAGAACAAGTCACCAATTCATTTTTTGTACGAAGCTTCTTTCTATTTTAGTTTAATAACAATATTCTTCCTTTTTTTTTCGTATTGATGACGACAGCTTTTCACATTTCTTACTGGTGCGCTTTTCTTTGGTATAACTAAAACAAAGAACGTAATATAACATGTACGTATTTTGTTGTTATAGTCAATTTATCATAAAAAGGAAAAGAGAGATGATATCATTATACTAAATATAGAAAAAAAATCTCACATAAAATTTAAATTTGTGATTCACCGTCAAGGACGCATATTACTGATGAGGAAGTGTACGATACTATAACAAGTGGCGTAGATTAGATGAGTCACTTATGTTCTCTCATTTTATCTACTTTAACTTTCTCTAAAAATCTAGTTTGATGTTCAACAGATAGGGAATTTTCTGCTCTACAAAATGGTATCAGTTTTATTCATAAAATACTGATCTTTTAGAATAAACAGACTTAAACAAAAAGAACTTCAAAATTATGTACTGCACCTTCATGTCGAAAAATATTCCAATCGGCAAATTTCGATTATCCTACGTAATAAAGTTTCACTTGCAACGAGACTGGTTCTACTATTTTATTTAAACCTCCGAATTAAAAATCTTGTGTTTGAACCAAAAGAAAAAACGAATAAGGAACAAAGTCAGACAACAGCTGCTATTAGTCCAATAATTCAAATTTTTCTTCGCAATGCTTTTTTGGATATTTTTTCGTATTCAGTTTCCGAAATAATGATCTTTTGTTGTTCTGGTGTAAGTTTCGAAAAAACACTTTTAATAGAAAATCTCCACCCATTATTATGTTTAAGCAATCGTTGGATAATCAATCTTCAGATACGAAACTGATAGATCAGCTCATGGATAAATTTTTTTTCTTATACTTGGCCAATAAAAGATGTTTTTTTTTGACTTTGTTACTTTTTTTTTTTTATTCAAACACAAGATTTTTATTTCAGAGGTTTAAATAAAACAAAACAACTAGTCTCATTGAATATTTTCAATCATCGATTATTCATTGAATGTGAAGCATCAAAAATTTAAAGAAGAGAAAATACGAGAACAAAAATGACTCATTTAATCTGCGTCATTTGTTATAACGATGTCATACTCACGATCAGGTGTCTTCCAAACTGCGCATATTCTCTTTTTTATACACATACATGACGTCATATTTACGAATATATTTTGTATCTATAAAAGATCATCAACGTCGTACAAATGGCCAATACAATTAGTTTAACTGTGAGAAAAGATGATGTTAGTCTATATTTCACTTGTTCTTCTACCTGCAACACTGGCCACAATGGGCGTCGATGTTTCCACAGCGGTTACACAAGCGAATTTTGCCTGTCTAAAAGGTACGCTTCTAAAGTAACAACTGTTGAGTTCAGTTCCATGGCAAATTGAAATTTCTTATTCAGGAAAAGGATACAATTTTGCTATCGTCCGAGCTTATCGAAGTTCTGGTACGATCGATCCGAATGCTGTTCAAACGATTAAAAATGCTTGGAATGCTAAAATGGCTCATGTTGACGCTTACATCTTTCCGTGTGCTAAATGTGGTAATGGTCCCGAGCAGGTGAGTACATTTACATGAATAGTTTGCTTTGAAAAATATTTTTGAAAGCTTTTGGAACCTGTTTAGGCGAAAGCAATCTTATAAAACGAGTTGAAGAATTCAAACGTTAGATTTTGAAATTTGTTTTTGTAACAAAGCATGCGACTTTAATGTTAGAATTTATTTAGTTTTACAAATTAGTGACCAAATAAAGTCATCGCCATTATTGTGCATATATTGAGATTTATCGAGTTTTCTCCTTTATATTTGTCTCTCATCTCTTCGAAAAATTTAGTTTTAATACGAAAATAACCATTATATAAATCTCGAAAGTTTTACACGATTTGGAAAAAGTTTTGTATGTATGTCTTTCGTCTAAGAAAGAATCGTCCAAAGAATATTGTGTGATCTTCAGACAATAGCAATGAAGTGTTAAATAAGCCTATCAATAATACTTTATATAGATTTTTTATTCAATGTAGATCTCAACTACAATCAACAATTTGAAGACAAATAATGCTAATATTGGCATGCTCTGGCTTGATATTGAAGGCGGAACTCAGTACTGGTATACGGATAAGGCAAAAAATATAGCATTTATTCAGTCTATGGTCGATGAGTGCGAAAGGCTCGGAGTAAACTATGGCATTTACACGTCGAAATCTCAATGGGATCCAATCACTGGTGGAGTGCAAACATTCAAGTCGGCTCCTCTGTGGTATGCACACTACGATAACACACCGTCATTTCAAGATTTCCAACCATTCGGTGGATGGACAACGCCAGCCATTAAACAGTTTGTTGGTGATACAACAGAATGTTCAGTAGGAATTGACAAGAACTACTATCCATAGCAGCTGTCCAACTTTTGATTGTATACCGATAGCTACTTGTTTTAAATATTTTCAAATAAAAGTGTATGATAATCATGTTTTTTTTTTACAAAATTTCAACAGATATGACAGAATAGTATCACTGCTGAATTTTCATATTCAGTTATCCTTATAGAGCAAAATAATCAAAGTGCACTGGATTTTCTATACTCGTCGTGCACATATAACTGGAATTCCAACTTGATCACTAAAAGTTTGGATGAAGTTAGACTATCGAAATGTTTACTTTCATTTTAATTAAACATTAACTTGACTTATATACTCCTCTATTTAAAAGAAGTCCTTGACTGACTACATCATGGAGATATTTAAAACAGAGGACTAGACATGTTTTAATAGTAAGGGAAATGATCGGTTTCGTCCTTGCTTAAGGGAGGGTGTGGGTGTGAGTGCGAGTGTCGGGTGTGGATATCAATCTTGTGATCACCCACATCAACATCCGCATCCACACCCACCCCCGTGACTACTTCTGTATAGATGCGTGTATTTTGTTTACTATTTACGCAATCACTTGACCAAATACAACAACCTGAAAGCCATCTGCTTTGCATATCTTAGCCGACACGAAATTTGGGTTATAGTAGCTATCTGACTCATGCTCACCTTCGCCCACGAGATTCGAACAATGTTATTTCGTAAATGGCATTGTTCAACTCTTTTCAAAGAGATGATCGACTTCATCATTACTCTCATATTCTTCTCAAAATTAAACAGTCGATCGAAGTTTTAATTCACTCGCTAAATTCGATGGTTGAAAAACGCTTTTGATTACTTGTTGGCTTAAAATGAGAACTTTTACATGACAAACAGAGTTTAATCGAATATTCAGTCAAAGAATCCCTAGTGATAGTTCACTTCGATTTATAAATCACCGTCATAGGACGTCTTATTTTTCTATTGATCAAGTCAGTCTGAACACGATCGATCACCAAAATTAAAAGAAGATTCTCACTGATCGACATAGGATGTTGCATATTATCAACATATAGATTCCAACGAACATTGATCAAAGGCTTCTGCTTCGATTTTTTTCTTGTCGAAGACTTTAATCTGTTTTTTTCGAGCAAAGTAAATCGGAACTTCATTTCGCAAATATACAGTTGAAGTTTCGTAGGGAATCTATACATTTTAATGTAGAAGATATTTCAGAGTGTATAATCATACTCTTATCGCTTGCTGATTCAGCGTTACTTCAGCTGTGTATTGATTTTGTGCTGTTTGCCTTGAAAGTTGGAAAAAACTCGCTGATGACAGCCAACAAAGTGCACCATTCTCCATTCTCTTATCAAATATTTGCTATGCAAATGAAAGCCGCTATTCAAGTATACTGTGTGCAAAGACATTGACTTTCCGCGAAAAAAGAACAAAAGCATGTGCGTCAATCAACTTTCTTTCTCTCTGTGGGTGTAGGTGTGGGACTGGATGTGGGTGTGGATGTTGGTGCTTTCTTCATCTAGACCCACACTCACACCCAACTCCACACCCCAGATCCTCATTCATACCTATAATAGATAGGTAAAAAAATACAGGTTTTTCCTCCTGGTGCTATTCGATGTGCACAGTTGTGAAGATTTGTGGAACATGAGTCTAATCTATTTTTTTTCGTATGCTTTCGTGGCCACTTTTTCAAATGAGGATGGTTCGCTAACTGTCCGGATGCTGATTAAGCGGTGGGTAACGAGACTGAGAGTGAGTATATCTGTCAGATCCGCTATTCAGAAACTTTTCTTTTCCGGATATTTTATTGTTAGTTAAAGAGTTATCGTGGTGATGCAAACAAAAAACTCGTGTAAGTAGGACAATAACTCAGGAAAAATGATGATGCAGGAAACACACAATCGTGATTACAATTATAAATGAAAAGAAATCATGAAAAAACTTTAACACGTGTCCGAAATACGGCTGTATTTGGCAATGCCATTGTTCATATTCATATAACTGCCACTAAGGTACAGATTTCCGTCGTCATCCAGCTGCATTTGTCCAATACTCCAGTAAATACCTGTTAGCACTTGTGTGACAAAACCTGAGCTTGAAATCAATTTATAAACACCACCATACGATGTAAAGTAGATATTTCCTGCCTTGTCCAAGACTAGATTAGACAAACTGTGATAAAATGCCAAAACTACCAAAACAGTCCCTGTTGAACTATCCGATGGAAACATAATGATTCGACTAAAACAAAATTAACTTCAATTACTAGCTTCTGTATTCTTCGTCTAAATGAAAAGATAGACATGTGAAATTTAAAGATCACCTGATTATGTCCTTCGAAAAAAGCAGTAAGAGAGACAATAATTTTTTGCTACTCAAACATGTTGCTCTCTCACTCTCAAAAAATTTTCAGTCTAATTGAGAAATGTTTGAGAAAATGGAGTATTATCAATCAATTAACACCTACAAGTTGCCTCTATCTGCCACATACAGAGTACCATTCATATCCACATATATAGCGCCAGGATTATTAAGTTGGTTCGTCATTGATCCAAAACTTCCATTCGTGCTTGCTACAATAGTTGCTGTTGATACAAAAGGTGTGATTTTCAAAATACGATTATTTGATGAATCTGAGTAGTATATTATCCCTTGACGGTCAACGAAAAGTCCACCAGCACCACAGATCTGATCTGCTCCTTGGCCACATGTTGTTTCACCAAAAACAATAGTACCCGTTGTTCCATTACCTTCACCATACTTTGTTACCAAATAATAGTAAATTGACGTGGAGCCGTTGTAGTAATACTTATGAGAAAATGACATTCTATGTTTTCTTTCGTAGGTAAACTTTATTTGAATTATGATCGATGATTTGATGATTTTAAATCTACTACTTGTCATTAAATTAGCACATTTTTATACAGCTAACTTCAATAATATGAACAATAGACTCAAACCCAAAAGTAAATACTGGGTGATATATTCGCGTCATAAGAGGATGATAGAATGCAAAAAATAGAAAACAATGCCTGTCTTCTATTGTAAAACATTAAAGCCTTGCATATAGAAAAAAGAACCATAACTATAGTTTATAACTACTATGAAAGTATATTGTCAGACACATGAATTCTCTGTCTCCTCTTCTATATTCACACACTGAAGAAGTTTCTCACAGAGATAATTGACGTAAAATGATTCGTATCCATGCTTACAGAAAAAAGAATGTAATGGCATCACGTTTCATATTTTGATTTCTCAGAAACTGAGCCAAAATAATTTAGACTTGATGCCTGGCAGGCTGAAAAATCGAAATAAAAATAAAGAAGAATAATATGTCTATTAGGAAACTGTATGTTTTACAAAATGAAGTCGAAGTCTTTCTTGCACGGTAGTCTACAAAAAGTTGAGAAAATTTTGAAAAGTATGACATTTGTATTAAGAAGGATAATCATATACTAAATAAGATCACTATTCACAAAGGAATTTATTTAAGAAAAAGCAACTCATTATTCAACAAAAAGTCTCTAACTTTGACAATGATTCATCTTGAACAAAATGTTATTATCATTAATTTAAGGCAGTCCAATGATTTTATTCGTGGACTTCTTTGTTCGTTCTGCATCCAATCAATATGTATTCGCTATCTATCCGTTATTTTTTATACTTCCATAGTATAGATATAAAAATAATTCTAATATGTGACGATGCAGAAATCATAACCGAGCATTTCGTGAACACAAAATAAACTTACTTGAGTTTCTGCTGCATAGATAATTCCATTGCTGTCCACGGCCACCATATGTGGATTGTAGTACAAGTAGTAGTTGTTGCTGTAGTTAGGTGCCAAAGCTCTAATACCAATCACATCGACTGTTGATGTATTCTTTGCCGAAAACTTGAGTATAAGGGTACTGTTACCATAATAACTAACACACTGCACAATGTAATTGTTGTTCGTATCCAAAGAAAAAGAACTCATCTGACATGAAAAATTCTGAAACATCGAATTCTGAAGTGCTAATGATCCATATTGATTCCATGCTCCTTTTTGACAAGTATTACCTGAGAAAGTGAATGAAAAAATATTGTCATTTATTAACAAAAACATTGTATTTCATATATGAAGACCTCGTCTACATTATATTGATATAGGAAAATTCTTACCGATTCTATCCTAGATCTAATCAATTTTCAGTATTCAACTGC